TAGTAGTCGTCGTCGTCGTCGTAGTAGTACTACTCGTAGTAGTAGTATTCGTCGTCGTCGTCGTCGGAATAGTCGTAGCCGTAGTAGTGCTAGTGGTAGTACTCGTGGTTCTAGTAGTACTAGTCGTAGTGGTGGTAGTAGTAGTAGTAGTAGTAGGAGTAGCAGTAGTAGAAGTAGTAGTAGCAGCAGTGATAATAATAGTCGTAGTAGTTGTAGTAGTACTAAAAGTGCTAGCAGGTTTGATACTGGTGGTTGTGGTGGTAATGGTGGTGGTAGTAGTAGTAGTAGTAGCAGTAATGGCAGTGGTGGTAGAAGTGGTCATAGCGATCGTAGAACTAAAACGTAGCAGCTAACTCCTCAAAAGGCCTCCAAGAGGATGCAAAACAAAAAAACACTCCAGGAGGTCCTCGCATACGGTCACGGAAATCCACAGGATCACGAAACCTCCTCAGAATTCCTCTCAGGATTCCGGGAGATCTCTCAGGTTCAGGATTCCTGCGGATGTCTCGAGATTCCTCCAGATTCCTGAGATCTGTCAGGATTCTTCATGATTCCTGAGGAAGCCCCAAGATCTTATGAGGATCTCACAGGAAGCCTCTCGTCGCCGTCGTCGTCGCCGTCGTCGCCGTCGTCGTCGCCGTCGTCGTCGTCGTCATGCTAGGATTTGTCCTGGTCGCCGTCGCCGTCGTGGTCGCCGTCGTCGGCGTCTTCGTCGTGGTCTTCGTCGTCGTCGTCGCCGTCTTCGTCGTCGTGGTCGTTGTCGTCGTCGGCGTCGCCGTCGTCGTCGCCGTTGTCGCCGTCGTTGCCGTCGTCGTCTTCGTCGTCGTCGTGGCCATCGTCGTCCTCTTGCTCGACGTCGTCGTCGTCATGCTCGTCGTCGTCGTCGCCGTCGCCACCGTCGCAATCGTCATCGTTGCCGTCGTCGTCCTCGTCGCATTCGTCGTCGTCGTCGTCGTGATCGTCGTCGCCGTCGTCGTCGCCGTCGTCGTCGTCGTCGTGGTGATCGTCGTTGTCGCCGTCGCCGGCGCCGTTGGCGTTGTCTTCGCCGTCGTCGTCGCCGCCGTCGTCATCGTCGACGCCGTCGTCGTCGCCGTCGTTGAAGTCGCCACTGTCGTCGTCGTCATTTTCGTCGTCGTCGTCGTCGCTGTTGTCGTCGACGACGTGGTGCTCGTCGTCGTAGTCGACGTCACCTTCGTCGTCGTGCTCGTCGCCGTCGTCGTCGTCGTGCTCGACGCCGTCGTCGTCGTCGTCATCGTCGTGTTCGTCGTCGCCGCAGTCGCCGTCATGCTCGTCGCTATCGTCGTCGTCGTCGGCGTCGTCGCAGTCGTCGCGGTCGCCGTCGTCGTGATCGTCGCCGTCGTCGCCGTCGTCACCGTCGTCGTCGTCGTCGTCGTCGTTGCCGTCGTCGCCGTCGTCCTCGTCGACGCCGTCGTCGCAATCGTCGCCGTCGTCGTCGTCATCGTCGCCGTCGTCGCCGTCGTCGCCATCGTCGTCGTCGTCGTCGTCGCCGTCGGCAACGTCGTCAACGTCGCTGTCGTCGTCGACGTCGTCGTGCTCGTCGCGGTCGTCGTCGTCGTCACCGCTGTCGTCGTCGTCCTCGCCGTAGTTGTCGTCGTCGTTGTCGACGTCGTCGTCGCCGCCGTCGTCGTCGTCGTCGTCGTCGTCGTCGCTGTGCTCGTCGTTGTCTTTGTCGACGTCTTCGTCGCCACCGTCGTCGCCGTCGTCTTCGTCGTCGCCGTCGTCGACGTCGTCGTCGCCGTTGTCGCCTTCGGTGCCGTCGTCGTCTCTGTAGTCGTCGTGGCCATCGTCGTCCTCTTGCTCGACGTCGTCGTTGTCGTCGTCATGCTGGTCGTCGTCGTCGTCGCCGTTCCCATGGTTGCAATTGTCATCGTTGCCGTCGTCGTCCTCGTCGCATTCGTCGTCGTCGTCGTGGTGGTCGTCGTCGTCGTCGCCGTCGTCGTCGCCGTCGTCGTCGTCGTGGTTTTCGTCGTTGTCGCAGTCGCCAGAGTCGTTGGCGTTGTCTTCGTCGTCGTCGCCGCCGTCGTCATCGTCGCCGCCGTCGTCATCGTCGACACCGTCGTTGTCGTCGTCGCCGTCGTCGTCGTCGTCGTCATCGCCGACGTTGTCGTCGTCTTCATCGTCGTCGTCGTCGTCACCGTCGTCGTCGTCGACCTCGTCGTCGTCGTCGTCGTCGTCACAGTCGCCACTGTCGTCGTCGTCGTTTTCGTCGTCGTCGTCGCCGACGTCGTCGACGACGTGGTGCTCGTCGTCGTAGTCGACGTCACCGTCGTCGTCGTCGTGCTCGTAGCCGTCGTCGTCGTCGTGCTCGACGCCAACGTCGTCGATGTCATCGTCGTGTTCGTCGTCGCTCCCGTCGTCGTCATGCTCGTCGCTGTCGTCGTCGTCGACGTCGCCGTCGTCGCCGTCGTCGCCGTCGTCGTCGTCGTTCTCGTCGTCGTCGTCGCCGTCGTAACCGTCGTCGTCGTCGTCGTCGTCGTCGTCGTCGTCGTCGTCGTCGTCGTCGTCGTCGTTGCCGTCGTCGCCGTGGTCCTCGTCGACGCCGTCGTCGCAATCGTCGCCGACGTCGTCATCGTCGCCGTCGTCGCCATCGTCGCCATAGTCGTTGTCGTCGTCGCCGTCGGCAACGCGGTCATTGTCGCTGTCGTCGTCGACGTCGTCGTGCTCGTCGCCTTCGTCGTCGTCGTCGTCGTCGTCGCCGCTGTCGTCTTCGTCCTCTCCGTAGTCGTCGTCCTCGTCGTCGTCGCCGTCGTCGTCGTCGTCGTCGTCGTCGCCGTGCTCGTCGTTGTCTTCGTCGACATCTTCGTTGCCACCGTCGTCGCCGTCGTCGCCGTCGGCGCCGTCGTCGACGTCGTCGTCGCCGACGTCGTCGACGCCATCGTTGCCGTCATCGTCTTCGTCTTCGTCGCAGTGGTCGTCGTGTTTGTCGTCGTCATCGTCGCCGTCGTCGTCGTCAAGGCCGTCGTCATCGTCGTCGCCGTGGTGGTGGTCGTCGTCGTCGTCGTCGTCGTCGTCGTCGTCGTCGTCGTCGTCGTCATGGTCGCCGTCGGCGTCGTCGTCGCCGTCGTCGCCATCTTCTCGATATCGCCGTCGTCGCCGTCATCGTCGTCGTCGTCGTCACCGCCGGCGTCGGCGCTGCAAGCCGACGCTGGCGCCGGCGCCGGCCTGGGTGGGGGAGGGGGGCAGCCGCTGGCGCCGGCGCAGGCCCGTGGGGGAGGGGGGGGGTGGAAGGGGAGGGGGAGGAGGCGGGGGTTCGACCCCCCCCTCCTCAAAACGCCCACAGAACGCGCTCTGTCATATCTACACACGTATATGTATGTGTATATATGCAAGGCAAGTCTGTGCAGTGCGGCAGGATTGCGACGAGGATTCGCACAACAAGCGAACGAGACTTGTAGGGACGAGCGCTATCTCTCTTGCCAGCGCGGCCCGCAGCCGTCCAGTAGCCACTGGTAGGATCCGCCTGTCGCTACGGGCCTCCCGCCCTCCTCGCCTCCTCGAATTGTGCAAGTGAGGGCAATCTGGCGACCGTGGACGCCTCCCCATCGCGCCTCCGCCACCGTTTTGGGAGATCCAACCCGCCTGCGCGGGGGTTGCTAAGGAGGTAAAACGGGGTCATCAGTGGACGCCAAAGGGGTTACACCTGGTCTTACCTAGCTTGCAAGTGGGTTACACATGCCCCAGGTGGCTCAGGGGAATTCTAAGTGGGCTCCGCCCACTCGGCCTGGATCGCCCTCCCCCCCAAGCCACTTGGGACATGAGCGACCCAGTACTAAGCTAGCTCAGGCCAGGTATAACCCCTCGCCGCTTCATCCCCTTGGTCACCCCCGCGCCCATCCCAGTGCGCAATGGCCCCGCCCCCCCGCGTCACCCCCCCGAGCCGCCAAGGCCGTCAACAAAATGACCGCGCGGGCCGTTCCTCCGCGGAGAACTCCCTCTGGCTCGAGCGCCCCAAGCGGGGGGGGAGAGAAACACCGTGCGCCCCCCGGGGGAGGCGGCAAAAGGCGTCTGCGCTGCTCCTGGTTGGCCCAAAGAGCGGGTCCAGCTGGAAAGGGGTGGTGCCATGTGACGTTGGGGGGGAATCGAATGGGGAGAGGGGGGGCCTGGCTCCGGACCTCTGCTCAGTGCGGCTGTTTGCAGCAGTGCGGCCGATGGGGGAGGGACCCCACCTGCTCGAAACAGGCGGAAAAAGACAGCCAAGGTCCACTCCATAGGGGGGGGAGGGTGCGAGGGCCCGCGCCGAACGGCAAAACAACGAGTCAAAAACAACCACCTGGAAAGGGGTATTGCAACGCGTATAACGCACGCGACGGCCCAGCAATACATCTGCGCACCGGAGTGGCAACATGGCAACGATACGACATGTGTCTACAATTATGGCAATGGTCGTGCTGGCTCTCGTAAATTCGTCCAATGCGTGCGCTGCCACATTTATTATCATGGCTTATCAAATCAATTGATATCAACTCTATTGCAAGAAACAAATACATTGCACAACATCTATTGCACTACACCCTTGTCGCTGGAACCCATTTTGGGTCATCCAGACTGGTGCCCCACAAAAATCGGTACGAGGCCACATCCGCTCAAAACCGTTCCCCGGTAGACAAGCGCGTTCCACCACTCGCAGGGCAACTACTCGCAAATGGTCCGGATCCGCCGAGGGGGATTTGCGATCCATTACCTCGAGGCAAACGCTTGTTTTTAGGACCTTTTGCGAGTCGGCACTTCGCGAGTAGTGGCACGCGCTCGGTGTCCCAGACCCTTCTCGGGATCCATCTGGTGCAATTTTCCACCCCAGGTCCGTTTTTGACTGCCCATGGGACCCGAAAACGGCCCCCTGGAGGCCGAAACAGGCCAAACACCATCCCGAGCCTTAGAACCTCGAACCTGCCCGCCCTCGCTGCTGGCCGGAACCACTGCTGGGCCACCTCAGGCCCCGAGGCGGATCCAGCGCCCCCCCCCCCTCCCCGCGCGGAGGCCTGACTGCGATCTGTGTCGAGCCAAAGTCCTGCGAGATCTGCCGCGAGCGTGCCCTGATCCTGCCGGGCGTGCGGCAGGAGGCCGCACTCCGGGACTGCAGTGAGGCGCAGCCAGGGCGAAGATAACATCGGGCGAGGATAAATCCAGAATCTCTGAGATCTGGCGGCTGTGGAGGCATCGGGCGCCGCGGCGGTCTCAGAGCGTTCCCGAACGCTCTGAGAGCGTACCGGAACGCGGCTCTAGAACGATTTGATCATCGTCCTAGCCCCGTCCGATGCAGTCATTGTGTCATTGTGCTACCACAGGGGACGCTGGACGAGGAACGAAGGCGCCTTCCTGGACCCAACGGGCATCGGGCACGAATAGGTCCCCCAACCCAGATCTAGGAGGAACGGCACGAAGACCAGAACCCCTCCAAATCCCCACATTGGGGAATAACCAACAGGTACCGTTACCGCTCTTCATCCGATCTCTCCCGGGGTGCGTGCTGACCAGAATGTCAAACCGAATCCAGCCGTGGCGACGAGGGCCTCTCAGGAGGCCCATGCTGGGGAAATCAGGGAAGCGTACCTGTCTCTCCTCTGAGTGGAGGCTTGGAAATGGGCACCAACACCAACACGGGGGGTTGCGTCCACCGGGGGAAGATGACCCTAGATGCTGGTGCTGGTGGTAGTGCTTCGGCCACCTAAGAAGCCCGAAAGTATCACAACCATCAGATCGGGGTCATCCTCCCTCGGGGGAGGCACACCGCTGGTCTTGGTGTCGGTGTCAACCTCTAGGCCTCACGAGCTGAATTCGCGCTCATTTCGTCGGCGCCTCGAGTGTGTAGCCGAG